TGCCTAGCAATTGATTATGAATATGAATATTTTTAGGCAATACTCAAGTCGATCAAAGCAGAATATCGTTTACGGTCCGTTTTTGGTCAGCAAACGACTAGAAAGTCGACTATTTTACGGCCGTTCATTGTCCGTATTTTCACTGTAAACGGTCCTATACGGACTGTACTGTTCGACCTGAGTAGGTTCCATTTATTAAAACCAAATTGTGATGAATCCATTGTAAAATTTTTTTAAAATATTCTAATAAAAAATTCATCTTGTTCAGTCAGGTTCCACTAGTTCTTTATATATATAATCGTAATCATTATTTGATCTGAACACTTTGCCATGTCTTATCTGATGAAAATCTTTTATTGTACCTCTTATAAAAGTACCTGATGCTGATGAATAATCTAATGCGACACGTAAATTATGTAATAGTTGACCAATACATCGATTTTTCAGTTTTTTTATTTCCAGGATAGAAACTATATGAAGTCGCAAATATTCTAAATGCAAAGCCCACGATGGTGACGTTCAAGGAGAATAATAATAATCAACGATACGAAAATCAGGCATCATTCCTTGAAGTAAATCTCTAAGTACAGTACCTTTATAATTAACACTATATTTTAATATCTGATCAATATTCAAATTGTAAACTTTCATACAATTTTGCTAAAAATTCAATGGATTGTCTTTTTCATTCATATTTCCAAGATTTTGTGTTAATAACCAGTTGTTAATACAATTACTTGGGTCAATCAAAACGGAATACCATTTACGATCGTTGTCCTGCAGCAATTCATGATAAAACGGCTACTTTGCGGCAGTTTACTGTCCGTATTTACTCATGATTCCGACGCAGTGATAGGCACTGTATACGGCATCGTATTTTAGCCATATGCAGTCGTACATGTGTCGTAATCTCACTATGACACAGTCGTATAACTGCGGGGTGTGGGTGTGGGTGGGTGGGTGTAGGTCTTTGTGTGTGGGTGTGGGTGTGGGGTGTGGGTGTAGGTCTTTGTGTGAGTGCTGAAGCAAAATCAGTACGCACACTCACACCCACCCACACCCACACCCCACCCACACCCACACCCCACCCACACCCGCACCCCACATCCACACCAACCCCACCCCCACCAACACCCACACACACCCACATCCCACACCCACACCCACACCCGCCCACGCACCCACACCCACACCCACATCCACACCCCACACCCACACTCACACTCACACACCCACACCCACACCCCACACCCACACTCACACTCACACTCACACACCCACACCCACACCCACACCCACACCCTATATTAAATTTTTGTGAATCATATTAGTTTCTACACTTACTGACATCAAATACTTTTTATAGAATTAATATTTAATTGTATCTTTTCTAATATAATCTTACGTATTGGAAAAAATAGTCTTCATTCATAACAATGAGAGTGAACAACAAATGACTTATTCTATTTAATAAAGTCATTTTCAATATGAAATAATGTTGATACAAAACAAAATCTTATTCTATATTTAAATTCAACTTGTTATATCTACTCATCAGATGTTTATTTTCTTCAATAAATTCTAAAGTTGTATTTGCTTTCAAATAGCTTGTTTCAGCTGATAGATTAAAAAAATACATAAAAGAAAACAAACACCAATAGTCTACTATAATTACAATAATATATATAAATACAAATGATTCATAAATGTTTATGATAAGTTTTAATCGAGTTGTTGAATTTGATGGCATTGATTTGATTCTAAACGATAAGAATTGAAAATCAAAATCAAAATCAAAATCAAATAAGATTATCTTGGAAAAAATACAGTATAAATCAATGTTACTATTATCTATACTAATTTTTATCCAATGAATCTTATTCATTAGTAAGAATAGAATAATAAAGATTTTGTATTTAGGATAAATTTAAAAAATGAAAGAAAAAATCAATGAATTTATTCTCCATGATCAAATAATTAGATCATAATGTTAGTTCTTAAATCTCAAAATAGAGTCTCATCGAATTAATGATGATCGCATATTTTAGAAAAAGCAGTGTATTTTTTCTTGTTTCCATATATTCTAGACTACGAAAAACTAATTTTTCAAATCACATGTACGATCTATTTTCTATCGACTGGTAAAAGAATTTTCAGAAAAATATGTATTTGCCACAACTAATAAAATAAATGACAAAACATGTATCGATTTGCATTCTGTGGTTTTAGTAAATAAAATGAGTTGAGAACTTGATTTATTCGAAGTTCATCAATATGAAATGAAATTTATCATCAGATAAGATTTCAATTGATAGTCTATTTTAAGATATTCTGAATTGATCGATAAAATGATTAGATTTTGTTTTCTGTTGAAAGTAGATTTTAATAGAATTTTTCTAGTAAATATTTCCATCTAATACTATACTTAATAAATGCTGAATATATCCTTTCATAACTAAAAGTTGTTTTGTCTTTTTCTTTCCTTATCAAAAATTTTATTGAACCATTCCAATGAAACTTTTTTGAATAAATTCAACTTTTTCAATTTAGATATTTACTTTAAACAACATAATCAGTCTTATAGAGCATTTTTATCCTAAAATGAAAATTTCATCCTCATTAGATCAATCAATAAAACTATTCAAATTTAATTATAATAATCAAGTTTGTTGTACAGAGAGACAATATTGAGTTTTGTATTGTTTTTTTATTCAATTTATTTGCTTATGAAAACGAGATCTCGTTTTGCCTACAGACTTTATATTTATACAAAAGAAAAATTTGTCTTTTTTTTCTAAACGAATAATTTTCCTAGAGAATTTTTAATATTCTCATAAAACGAAAAGCAGAACAAAAATAATTCATTCATTATGTAACAGTTATTATATGTTTATCTACATCTCTTATCTAATTAAATGTTTATTCTTTATATTGTCAATTCTATATTGTTGTTCCTATGTTAGTATTTGCAAATGAAAAAGTATCTCAGAGAAATATTATAGTGTAATGTATATGAAAAAAAAAATTAGCTAAAAAATAGGTACATTACACATCCATAGTTGCAAACTCCAATCTAACTACTTTGAAAATTCAATTGTATGAAAATGATAAAAAAGAAAAGAAACAAGTGAATACTCAAAATGACTATTATTTCAACATTATTGTTCCTTTATTTTTCTTTAACATATTCTATAAATATGTTTTTATATGAATTTTGAAAAAACAAAAACCACTGATTATCATGGAAATATATATGTCCTCATCGTCATATAGATATAGTCCTACGAGAATAAATCAGAAACAATCGAAAATTTCAATCAATATGAGGAAAATAAGGACAGTTTTGAAAACTCAGAAAATTAATATTATGGCAGCCTTACAATACGAAATTTGAGAAATATTTTGATCATAGCAATGAACTCTAAATTTTTTGAAGAGAAAATCTACGAAAGAATTCAAAAATATTTTAAATTCATTGCAATTTAGATTCTATAGTATCCTTTTATTATTTACTATCCATTGAAGACAACTCGAATTGTTCCAGTAAAAATCGTTTAACTCGTATTTCTCTCTCACTTAACTTGTATCTTATCAGTGATTTCAAAAAAAAAAAAAATCAAAAATGACATCACTCAAAAGTCAAAAATTTTTTACATAAAATCTGAAAATTTATCGATGATCAGATACACAATTGAAAACAATATTCTCAACATTGACATCTCCATTATTTACTTTTCATCAAATAAAAATTTATCTAGAGTAATTCTGATCATTGCAACTTATTCAACTAAAAATCTTTTAAAAAACGTTGAACATAATTAGAATACAATGTCAACTTGTATTTCTCAAAGAAAACTTGTTGATTTATCTTTTGCTCTGTTGTCGTTCTCATGTAAAATAATATTGAACTCAACATGATCAATCAAGTATTATGCTAATTAAAGTAGCGAAAGATAAATATATATATATATACATATGCTCTTAAGACATATTAACATAGCCTTGAAATATTTTAAATCTGTGGCAGACTTTCGTTAGAAAAATAAGATTTGTATTAAAATTAGAGTTTGCTTAATCGGTATGAATGTCAATAAGAATGAATGAAAGACTTATTCATTTACACTCATATATACATTAAAATGATATTAACTACGTAGTTAACGAGATTCTTTATCAATAAGATAGATCATTCAACGTTTTGAGCAGATCTTTCGGGATGTGATATGTGATTGTATTTTGATGAGAATATCAAAAGAATTTTTTGTTCCATTTATAATATAAATTTAGTTAAATAACTTTCAATGATTCTCAAAATACGATGACTTTACAATCGAACATCAATTTGAAGTATGTCAACTGTATAACAACTTATTATTTTACTTATAGAAAATTCATTTAACTTTCAAATTTTCTTAAATGTATCTTTAATATGATTAGCATTTTAAGTCAAATTATTGAATATTAATTAATCTAAATTTCTTAATTAGACATATAATAATCTAACATTGATTTAAGAATGATAATCACTAAATAAGAGATATTAATTTAATAATGCTTCTCATATTTAACTTAATAAGATTTCTGTAAATATTTAATAACAAAAATCTACGGAAGGTAAAATATTGACATTTTTATTAATCTCTTTGTTTACAGTTACGAAGAAAAACAAGTGTAGTTTTATGCATGAAAATTTTCTTTAGATAATTCAAAATTGATCTCGAAGATAAAGATGTTTTATTGTTACATTTGAATAAACAGAAGAGAATTTCATCTGATTTATTGACATATAAATATCATTGAAAAGAAAAATGAAAACAAACAATTCTATATCACGTTTAATATTATTCATTTTGTAGAAAGGGTAAACTTCCTTATAATGATTAATAATTAAACAAAATAAATAATTCTAATTCAAAACTTATTTAAGATAATGATTAACACATTTGTATTGATAGGATTTATATTCGTGAATATAAGAAAAAAAACAACATACCATATATTTAAGATGAAAATAAATCTTTTTCGAAATAATCAGCATCTGATTGTTCATTTTCCAATCGGCATAAACAATCACTTTTTTTAATACATTTATCAATATAATTATTTAATATTTCATTATTTAATTTGAATCGATTATCTTCTAAAAATTTTATTACTTTCAGTATTATTGGTGATTGATTTGCATAAAGTTCTTTTATTTCTTCAAAAACATCAATAATACCAGAGTAACGTCCTTGTTTTGCTTCTAATAAAATATCATTCTTGAATTTTTGTGGAATTATTTCTAACATGATCATTTTCATTAATGAAATACAATCATCAATTGGTAAATATTGAATCATTTTATTTCCGTTGTCTAATTCATTAATAATAAAATTTGATGCTGTTGATAATGATCCGTTATATGCTTCATGAGACCCAATGTTTATTGCACTGTCCCAATCAATTAATAATATGTCATATCTATTTGTTAATAAAATAGAAAAAAAAATGATTATAAACGTGTGTGCATTTACATATCAAAATATTTATTTTTGAATTATGCAGATTTCGATTTTGAAGATCAATAAACGAAAGAAATCTTTCATTTTTATTAGATCAATATTTTTCGTAGAAATCGAAATTATCTCTTATTTAAAGTTGAAGAAAGAAGATTACAACACTTTTTGTTCCTTTTTTTTTCTGAAATTCTTCTTCAAGAACAACTTATTAAAAAAATCCAAACTGTGATTTCAATAAATCTAAGAACGACTTACAATACTTAGATGCAAATCATTTGTCTAATATGGATTTTTACTTCTTTGCTTTTGTATAAAAGCTATTGTTTCAACGAAAAGATATTTTTAACATATGTTTAGTTATTCAACGATAATTGAAAATAAGGTTATTGGAAAACCTTGCTTTTGAACTTGAAAATGAAACAAGATGTATTATCATTATTTTAAAATAAATCATCTTAATTATATTTTAGGAATATTTTTCTCTTAAACTAGTCACAATTATCATAACTTTTGAAATTGTAGCTACAAAATAGAGCTTAAAATTTGACAATTCTTATATTTTCCAGATCATAACTCGCTTTTTGCAAAGACATATTATCAATCAAAATGCAATATTCTTTTCAAATATTACAAAATTTAAATATTATCAATTGCAAAACAACTTAATAATGATTGATAATCATAGCCTATATCAATTCTTAAAACTAAGGATACTCTACTTTTCAAACAAAATCTTACTCAACAACCAGGAATATTATATTCAAAAGAGTAAGTTCTACTCCTCAAACATACTAACTGCTTTCAAATATTAAATTCCATTTTGAGGTTTTATTTTTTCAAATTTATAAAAAAAACTATGAATAATTGAAACCGAAAACGTTCCGGAAATTTTTTAAGAATAACTTATAAATAATAATTAATTACATAGTTTCGTTTGATTTGTATTGCTCTTTCTTATATATGCCTGAAAATTCAAAACAAGAACTAAAATAAAAAAATATCCAAGGACTATGGTTTGAGGAATCTTCTATTTCCTGAAATTACCAGTCAAAAGCAACTTATTTCTCGAAGTGCTAAGAACCAACCATCAGAAACTTAAAGCACCATTTTTAGTTTTCCATCGAAATCAACTACCGATAATTTCTAATGACAAGAATTGAAAATATAATTAGTAATCGTAGTGGGTGTGGGTGTGGGTGTGGGTGTGGGTG